TCTCTCTCTCTCTCTATCTATCTTTACATGGGTTTGTTTTTCATTTCCTTTGTTTCGTTCCATTTTTTGTTCTTTTTTTTCCATTAATTTTTACAGCCAAAATATACAATACCAAGACTAATTTACAATTCTGCTACATCTTTGAAAAAGATACCATAAATGTAAAATTGGTGAAAGTGAATGGATGAATGGACAGATGATAGGAAGTGTTTTGATCGATTGGATAGTATGACTGACATTTTAGAGGAATTTCTAACATTTTTCTTTCTTACTTTCCTCTATTTTGGTTACGTTCACAGTTTTTTTCTTTTTCGTTCCTTTAAAGAATTTGAAACAGAAAAACAGAATTTGAAAAGTAATTAATTCGAAAATAATTTGGTCAAAGTTACTTCTTCCATGAAATAACTGAGGAAAGAGGGGGTGATTGGAAAATGATGAGAATGGGTAGTGTAGGGAGGGATGTGTATTCCTCAGTTTTTTTTTTTCGTTCTATTAAAAAATAAGTTTTTTGATAAGTTCAATCACTGTTCATATGAGATGATATACTTCTAGATGATATGGTTGGAATGATATACGGACAATCTGTAATTTCTTCCCTTTACACCACCATTCAAACCATATGGTTAAACGACTTGTATATATCATTTCCAATGATTATGTTAAAGAATTGTTTGGATTGAAACTAATACTAAAAGGTTTAATTTATCGCAAAAATAGTCATTTATAAGTGCTATATGCTTTGATTCTTCTTGTAAAACACTTTAGATAATTGATTTGGGAGCTCAAAATATCAGGCATCTGATACCCGAAATTTGAATTAGCAATTAAAATCACAATACTTTACTTTTCTAATTTGTTATTTACATTTATGCGTTATATTACCAATCTGCATTGCGCGTTACCGATTTTTTTAATCTCTTTATTTATTTATTTATTTCAGGGTTTTAAGAGTAGACGACGATATTTTGGTGGACTGTTATTTTTCGTTCAACATCCAAATCAGGTGAATGTTCGAAAATTTAATTGTGGAAAGGGATGGGTGGGAGATATGGGAAAATGAAGCAATGTCGAAAATCAAACTGGAAGGCCCTAGATGTAGTGCTTTTGCCTTCTCCATTGCCACTGTTTACTATTTTAGGATTGCCTATCTCTATATTTATAAAATTACTGCAAGATTCGACCCCATACCTGAGTTTGGTATCTGCATCTGAATTTGTTGGATATCCAGGAAATTTCCGAGACCTATGAATTCGAATCATGTAAAACAAAATAAAAAGTGAATTTTACATTGAATAATAAAATACATAAAATGCGGCAGGCATACGAGAATTATTTGAATATCTTTGGCTTTATGCCTTAAATTCCGTGACGGAAATGTATTTATTTATTTAGGTATTTATAGAAAGTAATTGCTGATCAAACAGCCGTCTGCTCATCTATAATCAGCGCCCATTATAGGAGATGGAAAAAAGCGTTGCTTAGTTTAAGAATTAAGGTGCCCAAGTTAGATGTGGTTTTAAAATTAAAATCTTGGGAAGAAAAATGAGAGTAACGATTTGTCACACACTCTCAAGAAATCTGGGATAAGAAAGGAAATTAGGCTTGGCTTAGGGCACACTCAAATAATTGTTCTGGAAGAAATAATTGTGATTGGCAACGAAGTTATATGTTATTCTGTGCAAGTATGGCATTTCCAGTCAAAGTTTTTATCGAGATTTTTTTTTTCCTGGCCTACAAATTTTCTCAAAATAATTGTGTCGAAAAATTTCCATAATTTCCATTTTTTTGTATTTGAATATAACTAGATCAGAAAGAAAAAAAGTTTGTGGTGGGTAAGGTAAGAAAATAAGTGCATTGCAGTCTTCTTTTTATTTCTTGAGTGAAGGAAGAAAAAAAAGTTATCATTTTGTGATATATTATGTGCAAATTCTATTCTTTTTCCCTTTTTCCCTGAACATCATCAATAAAATTAAATTATTAAACTGTGCATGTATGTCTCTGTATGTATTTTTTGCCAGGATCTTTGGTATCCTTACATCCTTTTCCCTGATCTTTTCTGATGTCCTAAGTATTGACTGAATGAAATTTCTTTAGATGAATGAAGTTATTGAATAAAGTTGAATAAAGTTTCTTTAGATTATATAGTATATGTCTTTCTCCTTCACATTTATTATTTATTGCGTTCTTCACGTTAATCATTGTCCATAGTTATCGACACGCTCAATACCACTGGTAAAATCAAGTTCTCTTCCCATCTTTCTGTTGAACAGAGTGAGAAGCTAAAAAAACTTTCCTGAGAAATGAGATATCAAATGATTAGATTAGAATGAACGAGCTGCTTTTCTCATAAAACAATGTTCAACTATCTGTCTAATTTAAGATCGGTGATTGAGTTTCCAAAAAATCTCTTTGGATTGAAGCGAATTAATGAGGGGTAAATTCATTTATGAATTGCTGAAGCATGGGAAAAAGTTCAAAATACTTAAGAAGGTCCTTAGAAAATTTCCGAAAATTGGAATATGCAAATCATGACTTGTACCACTGCAGATTCGTAATTTTTTTGTTTTAAGAGAGGCTTAAATTTCTATAGCTGCACCATATACTAAGATCGCTATGAAAATTCCCGTCCTAAAGTATTTGTATGTGATATAAGCATTGTGAAGCTTCTGGAAACAAAAATGGTTACCAAATCTCTGTCAAATCCATCATTTCGTTTTAGCTTTTGATATTTTAGCCATTACTGGTAAGCCTTACTGTCTCACATTATTATATAGTTACATTTATGAAATTATAAATGGATTGCTTTACACAATTTAGCAGGTGTTTTGAGTTTGAAATCAGCTGGTCCTTGTTTTCCAGGACCTAGAAGAAGTTATTTCATACAGATGCAAAGCATTTTGTGAAGCAAACGGAAGGAAGAGCATATCGTCACTACTAAAATCAGGCTTTTATATAGCTTTCTGTTTGAAGCTTCGCTTGATCTTATTAAAAAGATAGCAAACCTGAAATGTAAGACTGTGAGAGTATGGAAAATACTGTCACTTTTCATTATTGTAAGGAATTCGGATATTCTTGATAAGGAAAATTTCTTGGTTACAGTACCAATTGCAGGCATAATTTTTTCTTAAAGGTATGAGAAATTGATAAGAAGGAGAGAGAAATAAAAAAAAAGGGCTTGTTTAAAATCATACCGGAAGCTGGAGAGAAAAAAACAATATAAAACCTTTAACATCAGCATTCACTTTTTTGATGCTTTTATGATAATACAATCAAACATCGTAATTCAGACAGACAATGTACCAAGCCTCTATCATTCATGTGATGTTAATCGAATCAGGACATTTTAATTTCTTTTATTAATTCCATAGAATTATTCATTTTATTTTTCACTTATGCTAAATTTTCTCTAAAGTTTGTACTGTTTATGATAATCAGAATCAAGAAATCAATGTAATATAAGCCGTGGTTAACATATATATATATACGGATTTTCTAGGAACGGAATCAAAAATTAATGAAGTGACTCATTTAGTATTACTACAATCTGAATAAAACTAATGCATAAAAAAGATAATCAATCATTCGTAATGATACAGCAATATCGAAGGTAAATTAGAAGAGGACGGGAAAAAAAGACAATTTCTGAATGTGTTGAACACAACCAGACTTTCATCATCTTTGCGCCAAATTATTCGCGGTAAATATTTAGTAAAACAAGACGCTTCACTAATAAACATTTATTCCCAAGACTGAAATAATTCTTTGTACTTAATAGTAGCGTTACTAAAAGATGACAAATACTTATTGACATCGATTACTATTTCCGTTGCATGACATTACATGCACTGATTTAGCTTCTTCTATTCATGTTATCAGTAAATGATCAATTATCCTTAATATCAAACGATTGTAGTATTGATTGATGTAAGCATAAGTTTTTGAAAATCATCACTAAAATATTTTAATGTTTTTCTTTTCTTTTTAGAATAAAATGTTTTATTTCTTCAGTAATGATGATGAAAATAGGTTTTTAGAGGATATAAAAAAAGAAAAAAATCGTGGTAACAAAAACAACAGTAGTAATGTAATAAACAAAAGGGAAATGGAAACACTTTATGATAATCACAACAAATGACAAAGTGGAAATTAATGGAATTTTTCTTTTTCTGTAAACTATTTTCAAAAGTAATCATATGCAAGAGGTGAATCAATTTCTACAAACTACAAACATTTCCCTAAATGAAACAGAAAAAACTATGACACAATTAACTTAAAAAAGAAGCCATAACTATATAAATAAAAAGGAATTTTTACCTAAATCGGAATTTTCAATTGAAGACCAGCATTGCCATGCATTTAGAATTAAATCGGAGCTTCCGGAAATCAAAAGGGATAATTCCATTTACTAAATGCAGATAATGTATGTCATAATTCCTAGATAACTTAATCTTTTCTAACAAATGAATGAAACTTTCCGATATTGATCACCATGACTACTATTATGAAAAGAAAATATAAATATCATTAAGAAAAATTACGTGTGGTATAACAAAAGCAGAAGATATGCTGAATGAAAGTGAAGAATGAAAGATATGCTGAATAAAAATGATGGTGTTCGAAAACTTTGTTCAATTCTTAGAATATTTCTCTGCTTCGGAGAATTTTTGGTCTGTCATCCTACTTCCTGAACTATTGCCTTTCTAGCGAACTACAAGAAAATTAGCATATACTCACAATCATTTTTCCCACTCAACATTATTTAGTTAAGCTAGCTCATGCTGCAATGTCTTCCATTTTGAGTCCTCATATCAGAGATTTAATTATAGGGTTGACTTTGCCGGACTGGTAACTAAAAAGGTATTCCCTTCAAACTTGCTTTTCAAACCAATGATCCTGGTTACAAAATCGAGATAAAAAACATAACACAATAACAAGGAGAGTAAATTTGAAAAATTGCTATTATCCCTAGTACGCCATATGATTTGAATGGAGATGAATGTTTAAGGAACACATGGCCTACGTAAATTAGGTTCCTGTTCTATTAATTTAACACCATCCATAAAACGACTATAAGCATTTAGCAGATTTTTAGGTGATTTTGGGTCAAGATCGACGATTTTTACGGAATATGCAAAACTGGTATAACCAGCTCCAGATGCTCCGACAACTCGCACAATTTGTTGACCTGATGATTGCATACTTTGGGTGGCAAAAGCAACTGGATCAATTAATCGCATACTAATCATCAATGAACAATCCTTCATTGTAGCAGCCAAGAGGTAACGCTCTACCAGGGCACGATCTGTATTCTGATGTAGAAATGTAACACCTTTCTTTGGTAGCAAGCATTTATCCAGTAATTCTTTCTGTAAACAAGAAATATTAATGCTATTATGTAATAAGTTTGCATTTGAAGGAACAATACAAACCAGGCCAACGATGGCAACTCAAATATATTTTTAATCCTTTTGTAATTTGATTGAAAATTCTTAATTTGCATTTATTTAAATCTAATTAAAAGAATCACCAAAGATTATAAATAGAATGGAAGCAAAAAACAGAAAAAATTTCGACAAATACAAATTTTCAAAAATGAAAGAACATATCAAGGTGAATTATCCAACCTGCACTGTTTCCGGAAGATTTGTATAAATTTGGTAAGCACGAACTATACCAATCGTATCGACTCGTTGTCCATTAAGTAACTTCGTGAGAACACCTGAATCATGCACAGCAAATAAATCGTCCGATGGTGCATCCACCAAAATGCAACACAACTGCAAAGACTCCCACTATCATAGGAAAAACAGAAATTTCATTAAAAGATAATATATTTATAAACAAAATATGCAGTAAAAATATACAACAAAAATTGCACGAAAAGTATTAAACGACTTTCCGGTCAAGAAAAGAGTTAATCAAACAGAACGACACCTCTGCTATTCTCTTCAAAATGCACACGGGATAATTATAATAATGTCGAAAGTCAAAGAAAATTAGGAAATTTTAAATATTTTGATAAAAATACTAAACACAGGACCGATACGAACCTGTCCAGCAATTTCAGCATGAAGTTCCAGATGAAAGAAAATCAAGACTATAGAAATTTGTACACAAATCAAAAACTAAAAAATATATAACTAACAGCACTGATTAATTGTTGAACGGAAACAGAACCATCTCGAAAAAGTGATTCACGAAGCTGTTCGCCTGTCAGCTGACGTTCATCAGAATGTATCAGACTTCCATCTAGAAAAATTCGTAGATTTCGATGTGGCACTTTGAATAATGAGTTAAGTGCCTTACGCATTCGCTTCAAATCACCGCTGAACAAATCCAACGGACAAAAATCGTACATCTGTTCGAAGGCATCCGAATGGCACTTCTCCAGCTATAAAACAGGGTTAAATTTCAATTTGGTTTTTTGTGAAATTTATTTAAAGAATGATATTTTAATAGACCGCTTATTTGATTACAAGTATCATATGATTAATTTTACGGTAGTAGTATAAGTACCTCAAAGAAACTCTAAAATAAGACTATGATCTCATTAATTATCAAAGTAGTTATATATACAAAAATACCTGCAATATACAGTTGTTGCAGTATGATACGTTGATACCCGGGTGATTCTGCATGAAACCTTGTTTGGGCTTAATTTCCACCGTAATTGTTGGTCCAAAATACCGTGGAGAGAAACATTTCGGAATCCTTGTAGCGTCCATCATTTGCAGAATGCTCACATAACGAATATCTTTTGGACAACAAGACGGAAAGAAGCTCATTGTGGAGGGATATTTTTTTGGATCGCACAATTCATCAAATGTTTCAATCTTTAAATTGAATGGAAGAGCAGGAATCTGAAAAAAAAATTCGACAGCTGAAGTAAATATTCCTGTTACAAAGGTCATTGCAAAGTTTTGATGCACCATGTACATCTGCAAGACATAAGCGCGTTTGCACATACCGATGCCATTTGTTTGTTTTAGTTAAATAAATCTGGGATGCATGCCAATAATTACTTATTTTCAGAAGTAATATTGCCATTGCATATAAAGTGGTATTGCAAACTGCAAACAGCAGCAGCTCTCTTCACATGTATGAGCACCAAACAATATCATTCACATACAATGCAATAAAATCCTGTTGATTCGGACGCGACCGTACATGCGTTCTGATATCAAGTTATTTCGTTCAAGTCACTTATTGAATAGCTGACTTTAACAGGGTAAACCTTGGGCAGAGCCTTTGTGTCTACCTGAAGTATCTAGATGCATATCGCCATGCTTATCTAATCATTGTTTAAAGATCTCCTCCTTACAAACATAATTTGGATATTATAGATAATATATCTTCCAAAATACCGAAGTTGAAATAAGAGCTCACTTTGGCGAGATGATGCAGAGATTCCTTGTCAATTTCAACAACTTTAGGTTTAACAAGAAACTGCCGACCAAGAAAAGGCACAATTAACTTCTCCAAATACGCAATAACAACATGACACTTTGGTTTCATCGTCACATTTCCTGAACTGCGTTGCTTTGCCAATCTCCAAGCTATCCTACAAAACTACGCAAATCTCCATTTTTCCTCATTTATGGAGCTGAAAACAGGATTTTTGCGATGCAGAACTTTCGGAAGATTCGCAAAATGTTCATTACAAAGTTAGGAAAACAGGATGCTCCAAAAGATGCAAAAAAAAAGAAGAAATACCTTAAACCTGTTTTTTCACATTTTGCACTAATTACAAAATTGGCCCGACCTTCACCTCGGAAACAAAAGGAACGAAAAGAACGTGGATCAATAGCTGGTGCTATATTTGGTGGAACCATTGACTGCACAAACATTCACCTCCAAATGCTTTCATAACTATCAATCATAACGATCTGAAAAAGGTTAATATTAACATGAATATAACGACCAACCAGAACAAGAATAAACGTCAAAGAAAGCATAAGAACAATGACTCATAACAAATGATAATAATGTGAATAATTGAATTGTGATAAAAATAAATTTATGCAAATAATTGACATTTTGGGGAACTTATCAATTTACAATAGTACTCAATTATTTCTGCCAAATTAATACGCTTACTCAATAATATTTCTCCGCAACATTTTATCCAATTTCTAGTATATGATAATACTTGACTTAGTTAAGACTAAAAATTGATTATACTTTACAAGTATTGTTCCATTTCCTTATCAAAAACTTTTTGTCGAATTTATTTTTGTACATTGTTGCTTTTCGTCTGGGAAAAAAGACACATAAAATTCGATAAAATTTAATCAACAGTATCATACATTCCTTTTCTCATAATTGCGTGTTATAAATTTGTAACTACCAATATTTAATAGCACATTATCATTTAGATAAAAAATGTTCGAAAAAACAGTCAAGAAGAGGAACGGAGGAAGAATAAGATAAATCAATTAATATTTGATGAATAATGTCATTTCTAAATTACATTTCATCAGTTGTATAATTTTTTGTTTATAAAAAGAATAGAGCATTTAAACATAAAGAAAATGTATTAGTAAGGAAGAGAAAAAGAAAAGGGAAACAATTATACATATTATTTAATTAAAACATATATGATAATAACAAATGAAAATGACTTATCCAAAAGTACAACATGAAGTTCTTTTGGAAGAGAATAAAAAAAAATAATTCATGAAGAAAGAATTTTCCATCTGTACACGGAATTTCATTATGTTACATGGAAAATCAACCAAACGGATATTATCACTGATAGAATCCACTGATAGCGCTGTTGGATAAGTGGGAAAAAGCGCAGTATTTTTCACATTTGTATATCGAAATTTGATATGACTCGAAGAATTTGGTATGAATGAATGAATAATGTTGATTGATAGCTGCTAACCTAAATATATATATATATATACATGATAATATCATTAAAACATGTACTAAAGGTGAAAATGTCAAAATGTTACCATTAACGGATGATTATTAAACTATCATATGGAATAAGACAAAAGTAACGCATAGTTTGTAATCATTGCAAATTATAAAACAAAAATAGTGATTTCATTTCACCAAGATGTTCCTTCTAACAAATCCACAATGTTATTAAAATTTAACCTTCTTTCTTTCTCACCTTCAAAATTAAAGTTTTATGTGGATTATTCGGGATCTAAAATGAATATAATATCAGTACAGAAATAAATCTAACAACAAATATATCCGAGGAGCGATTGTGACTGTTGTATCAGTTAAAAAATTTTTTCCATTGCTATATCAGAAAAGCCCGATGTCCTTCAAGTAATATATTTTGATTTGATTAAAGGGAATATCATCAAATAAACGATTTCCAACCCCCATTCTGTTGAGATGATTTGCACTACAATTTACATTATAGAACTAATCATTCCTCAAGAATCTTACTTTATCAAAGAGTGGTCATTATCTAACCATATCAGAAATCAAAGTTATCATAATTACTTAGTCTTTTAATTAAATTAACACTTTATCGCCAAATCTATTTTACATACTTCATTGCCATTCTATTTTACAAAGTTGAGTTGAAACAGTTAGAGAGTTAAACACTAAACAAGAAAAAAATTAAAACTGAACGCGAGAGAAATAAATACAGAAACTGAACAATGCAGTACATAGCATAACAGGATATAAAAGTTTTAAAAAGTAGTTACAGAAATTTAAATGAAAACCAAATCTTTTATTCATTAATAGAAAAAGAAAACATCTAAAAAGTTCCATGTCTTATATCAAACTGAGGTCAATCAAAAAATAGACCTCCCAAACTGTTCAGTCTCCTTTAGACAAGAAATGTAAAAAGAGTTCATTAGTTGTACTGCTTGACATCATCATATGGCATTTATAAGACAAGCAGGCTTTCTAAAAGTCTAGTGTTTCAGCAGATCTCGAAGATCTTTCGCAGATAATTTTTTTATTAAGGCTCAATGGAACCATGAAAATACAATATTCTAACAAGAATTTTGCACAACTTTTGAATTAATAAAAATTGGCTATAAATATTAATTAATAAAAATTGGATATAAAAATCTATTTCCAAACCGGCCAATCTTTCAAATACCCAATTGATTCATCAAGTCATTTTGACCTTCAAACTATGCTTAACCGTTCAAAACCAAGATTTTCTTTTTTTTATATAGATAGAAGGCATCTAATGATGAACTTCGAAATTTTTATAATATCGTTTTCTAAAACAGTCATGATTTTCACCTCGCACTTGAAAAAAAAGGAAAAAATGATTGGGATGGTAATAATTATTGAGAAATGCAGATAAAATCACCATTCTTATCAAAATAGAGATATGTAAATTTAACAGGTCATAAAGAGGAAACTGTTTAAGAGAAGATAAGCACTGAAGGATGGAAGTGACAGTAAATGTTCAGTTGCAAATGTGGAATGATGAACAATTCTCTTATGTCAAAGTTATGCACACCGGAATAAACTCCGAAATTCACATCCTTTCTAACCTACTACACATTCTCCTTTTCAATGAAAATTTTGTCAAGATCGATTATATAGGCCATACTTTTTCATTTCATTTATTTATCCGCACGTTCGGAACTCATTTAAAATTCCTGCTTCAATAATGAAAGACCTCTCAAACTCCTTACTGCATCACAAGTGTTGTACATATATTTGAAACATACATATAATTGAAGATGATTTCAAACGAGCCTATCACATAAAACCCCCGTCGTTTCTTATCCCTCTTAACTTTATTCATTCAAACAGATCGCAAGTCTAAATTATCCTTAACCAATGGAATAACAAGCATTAAATAGTTGAAATCACCAATTAAATAAAGGAGCAACAAGTGTTCCTACAAGTTGCGGATGAGCAATTAACTATTAGAAAAACTCAAAAACTCGTTGTGGCCAGAATCAAAGAATATAAAAATTTGTACTAATCAAATTTTAATGCATCAAATGTAAGTAACAAAATTTTATGCTGCTATGATATCTAAATTATATTATAATCTCCACCGGTCAAAATCAAATTAATATTAAGCTTTCCTATGTAACAGTATCATAACTTGCATATTGGACCTAGGTAGTATTATGGAACCTATTCATTGTAACTCACTAATATTGAAACCAATAGTGAAAAAATCTCAATGAAACAGCTAGTGTGTATAAAATGCCATATCTGGACAATTAACCTGTTGCAAAGAAGCACGATGACATGGGACAACTGATATATTTTGTAATGATAATAAGTAATGTGCAATAGTTTCGAAATGTTGAAAATCTAATCAACTACTTAAAACTTCAAAAAACTCAACCATCCTTTCAAGAGCCAACACTGGGTTTAAGCATATTTAAGAATGACAACCATATAGCAAAGAGAAGCAACAAACAAAGAAAAATTTTCAGTGGTAACATTATTTCTCTCGCTTCTGAAATAAATGTAGTAACATTAAAACATATATCGCAGGAACATAAAAATACAAAATTGTAATACCGAAAAAAAATGAAAAAAAAAGCAGCAACCAGAGATATATAAAAACTCCAAGCAAATTCAAAAACGGATACATGTAAAAGCAGAGAAAAAATTCGAATCAAAATCAATTTAGAACAAAAGTCGAGTAAGAAAGGAACTTCGTCTGAAGCTCAGAGTGTAACCTAAGCAAAGTGGAAATCAACATGAAGTATTCTCAGAAGGATTTTGGAAGTTTATTTACAAGAAGGCTTTTGATGATTGCTAAAGCAGGAAAATTCATGTCATTTATTTCGCAACACGAATTTTCCTGCTTATATTTGTTTTCAAGAATTACATTCTAGCTCATAAAAATATTTCGTTCTCAGCCGACTTAATTTAAGTTGATTTTATTCAGCATTTGTGCTCAGGACAAGGGATACATTACAAAATATTACAAAATTTGAAGATTGTACAATGCAGAAACTCAAAAGTAATAGACTAAAAAACAAAAAAAAAAAAAATGCTACGAACCCAAATGCAAAAATGAAAACATCCCTTTTTATCCTACTACCTCATAAAAACTTCAGCCATATCCATGTAACATAAAAAAGTGATGTTGCTCTGAGCTCCATGGTCATACCAAGCCTCTTATTCCTCGCCGATAAGTTACTATGCAAGGAAAACGATAATTACAGAAAAGAACCAAGTAGAAAGAAACCCCGATATTTCAGAGGAAGGAAACACGAAGCTAATAAAGCTATTAAATTTAACCCAACCCAATCCAGAATTTGAACTATTCCGATATTTATGTAGATTGGTAGTTAAAGTGCAACATAGGTTCCCAGTAACACAGAAATAACTTTATGAAATATTTAAATTGTTCACTGCGCAATAATTGCTGATAGTTTGGATGAAAAAGAATGTGAAATATTATCTGAGAGGAAAAAAAAGGAGAAATAAGTCGATAAAAACAAAAATAAGACCAATAAGACCACATTTTGATGTTAAAAGGAAAAAGGATAAAATGAAAGTAAAATTATGTTCAGAGAGCAACATTTTAAAAAATGTTTAAAAAAAATTTTTTGGTAAAAATTCGTTCAATTATTCGATCCCTGAAGCATACAGGTAAGCTGCAAATTTTGAATAAGTTTTTCAGCAGCTGATCCATGATAACCAGTAATATTTCTAGCTGACCAGGCATCAAGTATTTTGACATCAGCTAACGTCAAAACAATGCACTGTTCCAAAGAACATTTAACTTCCTGTGACCATGGTCTAATTAGGGAAGACAGAGTAGTAGAGCAGAAATACGTATCCAAAGGACAATCTTGGCGTGAACAGCAAACCAATAATGATATCAACAGATTTGTTGCAAACTGAAATAACTTCTGGATACGTAATAAACATAAAATTTCATAAATTAAGATGAATTAAAATTTAAGACATCGAGTTCAAGTTTTACTTATTCCTATATCCCTTCCACAAAACCTCATACTTCAAAGCATTGGAAGATAATTCAGTTACTCGATTCTTGAAGTTTATAAAAAAAAGTTTACAAAAAAAATTAAGCGGGAATAGTTCGATTATAAGCACAGTAATCTTTCCGAAAGTCTGCTGATAGCAGAGTGAGAGTGACTGGAGAGTTCTCATGGATTTTCGTGAAATTTTTCTCGACCAATAAAGCAACATGAACAAAGATGTCCAAAACTGTTTGGAAAAATTTTTCGGCAAATAACAAACTATATGTTAGAAAATAATTAATTACCACGTTCATAGTTATATCATTGGCGAAATTCAGTTTCAAGTTATTAATGAAACTGGTGAGTGCATTTTTTGAAAAGTGAGAAAATGTCTCGAATATTGGCACAAGCACTGATTCATTCATCTAAAATTGAAAATTTTCATTTTTGAAAATTAAAAAAAACGTGAATGTTCGCATTATATGAAGGAAAAAGGCTGGAGCTCAAATTAAGTAGCGGGCCCTCCAAAAGAAACTAACAAAGATATTTACACAGCTTGCCAAATAACTTTGATGCTGGCGTTCTACAACAAGAAAGAAAATTTTATATGAAAAAATGCAATATTCTCAGAACTAACATCATAATTTATACTAACAGCAGAAAAAAATAATACAAACCTCATCTGATGAAACCTTTTTGACAACAGTTGATAAAGCAACAAAGAAATTTGTAAGAAGATGTAACTGCTGTTGTTCATTAGCAAGTGATAATGTTCGTGCAAACATTTGACGCCCTTTATTAATTAGCAAAACAGCTTGAAGTCGTCCGTTCAAACACAGAGTGTCGATTATGGTTTTCATACGACTTTCAACACCACGCTTCATCTCCTCCCTGTAAGAATACAGGAGCAGTGAAATACTAGACAAAGTCTGTTACATTTAGGCTTGAGTTTCATCATTTATTACAGACAAACTAAAGAAACCGCAAGTGTGTCTACGTTTTATTTTATGCAAAATACAGATGATATGTGAAAATTGAAAGAGACCTGTAGATATATGTCCCCTTACTATATTGAAAAAAAAAGAATTACATAAAAAGCCTCACTGAATTTCATAGGAAAGTGAAGCAGTACACAGTATTCGATGTCTGTCGTCACACTCGATAATTAATAACGCGACATTTTCCAGCTGCAAGAGAAGTGCTCGCAGCTTTTTCTGTGATGTGCTACTCTTTACTGAAAGCTTGTCATCATCATTCGGTGAATCGCTTGACAGATCAATAAGCTGAAATTCAAGAAACGATTATTAATACAGTCCTGACTGTACTATAATTTTCAGAGTTATTTGCGATATATTCCATCTAGGCGATGAATGAGCATAATAAAGAGGGATTAGTTTACATGATCGTGTGAATACCACCAAATTTAGTGTAACATACTGAAAACAACTAAGCTTAGCTCGCAGCGCAAACTTAATAACTTGTTATTTAACAAAGATGATATAAAAACAAGTAAGAGTTAAGACATGCAGTATAAATATGTACGTGATAAAAATATACGAAAAGCAAAGATCCGGAATCCGGAAAAATCAAAATTATTGAAAGCACGATTTAAAAGTCCTATCAGTAGTAGTAGGGCTGAGTGTAGCAATTGAATTCTGCGCATCAATCAAGTAGGATCTAGCAAAAGATTTCAAGAAAAAAGATTAACCTGTCTCGGATAATTAATAGTGGAAAGTGTTGGCTTTCCCAAACTACCAGCAAATGTTGGCGGAACATAATAATGATAATGATGCGGGTTTGTAGTGTCCCACACGTAACCAAGCTCTTCATCCTCCGCTTTCAATTCTCTCCCGTGCCCCTCCAACGCCATTTTCCGTTGTTTCCATGTCTATAGTTAAACAGAATAAGAAAAAATGAAACCAAAGACAACTGAAACTCCATCACAACCGAACTCATCACAACTTAGCACAGGTGAACAAAATGTCGGCAAATGGCAAGCAATTATATAAGCATGTTTATGAATATCAAATACTACTGCTATAAAGTAAATATACTAATATATTCGTCATGAACAATAAATGGACCAAAAACAAATGACTCATACTCTAATTGAGTGTGATGCACAATACAGAGTATAGATGTAATCATTCTGGTTTATACTGGCTGACTGATAAACACAAAAAGATAACTTAAGTAAAACATAGAACAAACCGTGTAATAAAAATCATCCTCGTATGGATTACCGCATCCTTGACACTGCAGCTGCTGAATTTTGATGAGCCAACTGCGCTCTTTTTTCGAAACGAAGCCAGCGAAAGGAGACAATGCAAAGTCAGAAATTGTTTTATTGGATACCAAACCGGTAAGCTTGCTCGAACGGTCTCGACTGTAACTCATTTTGTGGTGGAACACCTGAGGCATATGTGATTGCATCTGAGATTGCGGAGGACAAGGCAAATATGAGGGTAGTGCTGGTCGACCTGATCTGAAAATAAATTTTTGCACAGAATAAAATGTTTTTCGAAATATTTGTACTATTTGTGTACTGTCACCTTTATTACGTCGAAACACACCCAATAATACAGGTAAAGTGTCTTCTGGAAATGAATTCATGCAAACTAAAAATTTTTAATGATCCAATAAAAATAAATCTTGCGATGCCGAGATTTGAAGAAAAAAACAAACACTGGATGAGAAGGTTGCTGCACAAAAGGAAATGGCGGAAGCATGGGATGTGAAGGCATTCGCATCATAGGTGGTGGTCCTAGTGAAAGGATCGCTGCTCGCATCTGTGGTGTTATCGGAGGAAAACCAGGAGGCAATTCTGGTAGTTGACCGAGCAGATGAGCTAAAAAAAAGTCATTACATATTGAAATTTGTGACATTTAAAGCGGGAAACTCATCAACGGATGAATGGAAACTTAGATTCGACCAAAGATGTCATTCTCATTATAATTCTTGTTTTACATCCTTATCAGTTTTGAGAAGGTTTATACTCAAAAAATAAATTCACCGCTAAATGCCCTATGCATTACTCCTGGACTGAAATATACTTCAGAACACAAGCTGTTTTAGTTTATGAACCTAAATTGTGGTTAATTTCCATTCATTCTCCAGGTCGCGAAGCAGCTAAGAAAAAAACTGTTAAGCAACGATATGTAGTAGAATGTAACTCGCATATAACGATTTGTGATCTTCAATAATTCCCGCTTACTTTAACAAAAACTAATCAGAGTAAAAATAAACAAAGCAGACCTCTTGCAATTTGCATGGCAAAAGGAGATAACATCGGAAAAGGTAAACACTGAAGTGGAGGCGGTAGTGGTGGAGGAGGGATCATTGATGGAATTCGTGAATCTGGTGGCAAAACACCAGTAGATCGACCGACATCGGGAACAGAAGCTGTTACATGGCCTGCTGATTGCATTAGGAAACGTTTTTCTAACTCGCCCAGTGTTAAGGCACCTGCTAGAACGAAATTGTGGATAAAGAATGAAAGTTTTGAACACTCAAAGATGAATCAGGCAAACATTTAAATTAATGGACCTGGTGGTAAAGGTGGGACTGTTAGATCTGATGGTTTAGAAGTACTGGTGACGTGGTTTCTTTCCACTTCTTCAAGAGTAAGCGCATCCTTCGGTAACTCTGCCAGTGATCGGATACCATCTTTTTTATCAGAATATTCTTCCGATGATATATTATTCTGTAAATGGTATCAATATCTCATATCTTATATACCTTCATCCTACATGGAGCATGTTACAGTTTAATATTACAGGCAAAGCATCCTCTGGATGCATTACTGACAAGCAATGAAATAATGGACTTCTAATATGCACACATCACTAGTGTCCGATGAACAAGCTCTCGAACTGTTTCATTTGATCTGCCCTCTATTATAAAGCAATTCCGGAGGAGGTAAAATAATTGAGTACCAGTACGAAAAGTCTCGAGTGTAATATTTTCGTTGAAAAAATACCTTCACCGCTAGAAACCTAGTTCGATCTGGAATTGTTTTATTTATGAAGTCATTTGCAGAACAATGTTGCAGAATGGAAAGTTCTGGACCACTCCAACCGAACAATGATGTTGTAGAATCAGTGTTTTTCCATAATGCATCGGTCGTCCCCTACAAAATCCAACATGCTTTAACGAATTTCATTTTTTGCATAAATGATTGGACGGGAGCTAAGCAGCTATAGAATCTAAAAAAATACTACGCACACAACTGCAAATACAGAAGCTCCTTGTTTTGTATCAATGAGCAATGAAAATATTCCACATACGAGTTGCATATTGAAATCTTCGAAATTTTTGGAGTGATATGAAGATATATTCGTTGTGGGAAATGAATTAAATCCAAATGGAGGTGTTGGTAATTCAGATGGATGTGGGGCGGATACCGAACAAGTGGGTTCATCAAACCATTTCGGCATTTCATCATCCAGTTGCAAACCCGCTGTCTGTAAATTAACTTGGTCTAAAATTTATCTCTCAGTTCATGAATTAAAGGACAAAAGGATAACCTAACTTACAGTCTGCACATAACAGTCATTCTTAATATAGAAAAAGAAAAGAAATCTCCTAAAATAATGGTGGACCTCCTCTCTTCTAACAATAACATTCGTAATTTACAACCTAACTTAAGAAAGGGAAAGGTATCTTAACGTAGATATAAGACCAGACTTTATCTGTCCTGAAATGTATAAGAAAGCAAAGATTCTACCTGTTTCGAATACTGTTCCAGGTCGTCATCCAAGGTGTCATCATCGACATCCACTCCAAAAGTTTCATCATTGATTGCATCGATGTTGTCATTTGGCTGTTCACTATCAAAATCCTGAAATTAACAAAGCTTCCACACTTTTGATGTAGCCGAATCTCTCCTGGAGTCAAAATCTAAAAGAGTACTACTCACCTTCCCCCCAAAATATTTCGGAAAACGAAAGGTTAGAGAAAATAGGAAAGTGAAATAAATTTGACCCCGACTTTTTACTTACACAAACAAAAGAAAAGTATGAATAACTAACATCCACTTCCGGCAAAACATCAAAATTGAAATCATCAAAATCGTTTGGTAGACATCTTCCACCAAAACCTTTCAAATCGATTCGTGACATGGCCCTTCGAAATACTGCTCATGACGGGTTAGTTTTTAGATAAATAAGACTTGTTTAGTAGTACATACCCTAAAAATAACTCCTTAAACACTTGTTTAGTAATACACAGCTAAAAATAACCTGAAATCCCCAAAACAAATTCTCGAACGTATATGAACGGTGTTCCTTATCGTAACATTAGAATCTATAATAGTAAAAAAAAAGAGAAGAAAGACCTAACAAACAATGCAGTTAAGCAAATTTATGATCTGCTCGATGCTCAACAATATCAAACTGCCGAACAGCTCAATGCCACACACCGAATTCCAGAAAAGGTCCAATTCCCAAAAGACTTCTTTTCAATTTATTCTTATTCGTAAATGGAAAGTATGTGAGAGAAGACGAGAAAGATGCCATATCTAATTTCAACATATATATATATATATATATATATATATATATATATATATATATATATATATATATATATATATATATATATATATATATATATATATATATATATA